AGCTGTGAAAACGAGCTGCGTGATCACTGAATATTGCTCCGATAGAAATGGAACGAGAATAATGAGTTATTGCTTTTTTAGCATTTTTGATTGACAGTCTCATTATGTGGTAAAATGAACCTCAGCTCAGCCGCCGTCTGAACCGAACCGTGGAGGAGTTTGTTCAGACTGCTCGGCAACAAGGCTGCAAGGAATTACGGCCACGATGTCTCCCGCTCCTTCATTTGAGTTTAGAGTTCATCTGCAGCAGCGCGTTCAAGACATCAACCTAAAACATCTCATAACAACAAACTAGACGTGATGAAATCCTCCAGAGGATCAGCTGGCTGAGTCCTCGGTCCTCTCTGAGCGAATTTTAATATTCCTGTTTTATGAAGCAAAACTCGCAGTCTGCAGATCATCAGTCCATCCTTGAAAAGATTCATTTATTCAATAAGATTTTTCTGTACAGGAGGAATTTTTCCCAAAAGGATGAAACTTCAACTTTAGTGTTTGCATTTAAAAATGATTTCTTTACTGTTAACGAACTCCTTTTCTACTGTTTCACTCTCAGCTGCAGACGTGAATTCCTGATTGTGTAGATCTGCTCGTTATGTTTACTGTTTTAGCTGCAGCAGCTTCTTGGTGCATCTTTAACAACCGTCTGTAGAAAAAACACTCCTGGGAACTTTCTTCCCGTTGGTGGGCGTTCCCACGCATCCTTCCAGTGCAGATTTGGGTAACGTCCTGAGGGAATGGAGGGTAAACTGTGTTAACCTTTCCACATAAATCCCAGAGAGGACATCTGTGTTGGGATTGTTCTGTTCCATGCATCCGTCTCAGCGGAGCTCCAGAGTTTTAAAAGTAGCGCAAGGTGACCTGAATGTGGAGGACGTGGAACGTTCTCAGTCTGTAAGAGTCTGGAGCATTCGGTGACTCCACCCCCTCGCCAATCAGTGCTCGACCTCTTCTGGCGTCACGCTTTTGGCCAGGCTCGTTGTGGTTGGAGCTCTACTCGGGACGGGATTGTTCAAATCCGGCTAAACTCTGAATTTCTGACCATTACGGCTCGTTCCCTCCTCCCCACACAGGCCAGCAGAAAATCCACCACTGGTTTATTTGGCTGTCCACGGAGCGCCTTTGTTGTTTTTATTCATCTAAGTTTCCTCTTTCGTTTCGTGCGTCCATGTTTTGTTGGCTGCCTCTTGTGTTTCCTCCTCCCTAGCGGGATCATTTGGGACCTCTGTGTTGCATCCCACGGGACCCGTGAGGTCCCGATGCAGACCTCTGGTTAGAACCACAGCCAAGCTGCTACTGAAACAGAGGCAGCAGTCTGGAACCTGTCGCTACTGGAAACGGCTCGGAACCGGGCCGAGCCGATTTGAGCTGCACTGGGAAGGCTCTGGTAGAAGGCGTATTGTCGGCCTGCACAGTGCTGCATTTGCTGCGTCGTCCGCATCGTGGAACCGGGTCCAGCGGGCCAAAGGAGACCGGCCGTAGCAGGATCGTCTGGAAGTTCTGTTGTCACGTTATTAGTTTCACTTTATTCACATGTGAGGTGAAGTTTAGCTGCAGCTGAGTGAAAACATTCTCCTCTGCAGCCTGTTTGAGGTGATTTGATCAGATAAACAGAGACCTGGGTCTGGATAATTAGCTGCATCATTTTTAAATGTTTGTAGGGTTCCTTCCTTTTGGCTTTTGGTCTTCCTCGATGGAAAGATGGATGAAGAAGCCAGCTGTTTGCCTCCTGGTCAGCTGGTCCCGGAACCGTCTGAGTCCGTTTGGACAGAGACGCCAGTTGAGCTGGTGGATGTCCAGATTCAGCAGATAAAGGATTAGGATTGTTAAAAGCGTCCATGTGGGGAGCTATCTGATGACCCACGCTCCGAGTGTTCCACTTCAGCAGATCCCAACACCCTCTGTGGGTCAGAACCAGAACCGACCGCTTCTCGTCTGTCTGGGCGGGAGGAGATCTTTGTCTCAGGGTCAAAGGTCACTTTTCACTCCTGGTCCCTTATATGCTCTTTGTGCTTTTCCGGGTGCAGGTTGGGCATGGAGCACGATGGGCAGGGAAACCGTTGTGGCGATGAGACGGCGATGGGAAGCGTGATGGCCCCGCTGGTGCAGGCAGCCTTCCATCACTACCACTGGTCCATGTGCAGCGGACAGGAGCTCAGAAGATACATCCAGTGAGTTCCTTTAGCAGCAGCGGGCTTTTAGTCCCGAGGAAGGGTTGGTTGCATGCGTCAGTCTTACCTCCAGTCTCCTCCCCTTCAGCACATACAACTGTCTCCTGGATGACCCCTTCAAACACGACTGGCCACAGCTTCCTGAACTCCCGGGAATCAACTATTCCATGGATGAGCAGTGTCGCTTTGACTTTGGAGTTGGCTATAAGATCTGCACTTCGGTGAGCAAAACAGCTGAAGCTCTGCTTCTTTACTTCATACCCACTGTAACATTATTAATTTACATTTAATTAAGGACCGTAAGACATTAAAATTTCATATCTAGTATGAAATCCATCTTGCGGACACTGGGTTATTTAAATCAGAAGATTGGATCTTTTTAATGCAGGGATTTAGACAACACTTTGTATTAACTGAGAGACAAGAGAAGAGAGAGAGACCTTCAACCATTTAAGATGATTTATTACTAAATAATTTCAAACAATTTAACATTACTAACTTTCTAATGATGGATGTTCTGTTTGAATGAGGTGTGAGATGGATGTGTGTGTGAACGAGTGTCATTCAGAACTCTCGTACCCGGAGAGACAAGTCTGAATGGGATGATGTTTTGTTTCTAACTGATCAGAGTAGTTTCATGACCACATGAGATGCCATTTGTCGCATCCACGTACACTCAGAATTGAGACCTCCGTACAGATCCGGATGCCAGGTCCACAGACCCTCCTCTGGTACTGGAGCCGATGAAACAGCGTAGACAGCACGACAAACCAGTCCTTGGATTGTCTCCAGGTAAAAAGCGACAGGTGGTTCACAGCGTCAAAAGGGGACCCTCCTTGGGTCAGTGAGTTCAGCTTTTATTCTGAAAGGAACCGTTGCTTGATTGGTATAAACAACAGATTTTTCCAGCTTGATGGTTCTCAGCTTAAAAAGAGAAGTACAGAATGGCCGGTCCGATACTCCGCTTAGCATGCGGTGAACTCCATGGGATCTTGAGAACTGAACTTAAGACGGCGTTGGAACTGTTTTATTAATCTGGATGTTTTTGATTCTGGACGAATCAAAGCCGACAGATTTATAAACACCACAGAGACTCTGCCACGCTTCAGACTAGGAAGGTTCTGATTGGATCAACAACAGCAATGTGTCATGTGATTGCTTACCTTACGTGTGTCAGTGTGTCTAGTGAACTAGATTAAGTCATATTACTTATTAAAACATATTAATCATAATATTGTGATTTCACAGATCGGTCACATGGTTATTATTGACTAACAGTTGTTTTGATTAGCTTTATTAAAGAGCAAGTCACCCCCAAATCAACTTTTTTTGCTGATAAACTATATAAGCGAGTGTCTAATCGTGCTGCAGACACGTGTAGTCAATAGTTTGGTACTTCAGTGCATTTTAGTTCAAATTTAAATATTCTGCCTAAAACTGTCAGTGTTGTGTCATAATCAGGTAAAAACTATGCGCTGTATTTGAATTTAAATCTGCCACCGCTATTGGCTAAGATGTATGCTATGATGTCAACTGGTACATTATGATGTCACAATGCTGTCGTGAACCTGTGTGTGTTTGTTAGCGGCTCCGCCCTCTCGGTCTGCCAGGCAACGGCATTTGTTGCATTTTTCAAACATGAAGTGGGAGTGGAGTAATACTCTGGTAGGGGGTGACTTGCTCTTTAAAAATAGAGTTCTTTGATTTAATAAAAGAAAAGAGTCTCTTCATCTTCTGTCTTCTGTCACTGGAAAGTAAACAGTTTAGAAGCAAATGCATGACCTTGAGGCTGTTTCATGCACTCTGGCGCTGTGTCAAAGGCAACTGTGGAAAAAGGTTAAATAACCTTGGAGGAGTAGCTCCTTCATCACGTTACAGCACACAGTCTGCAGCCAAAGGTGTAAACGTGACTGAAGCATGTAGAAGATATCCGAGGGAGGGAGAAGTTGACAGAGACTTCCGTCTCAGCCGAGACCCTCAGACTTTTCTTTGTGTTTAGAGGCGAACAGCAGAGGCGCTCGAGCGGCTTGTTCCAGAAAAACAAGCTAAGCGTTTTCTTGACAGCGTCGGGTGGGTCTAGTGTTGATATGAGTGGAGTCGGGGACAATTAAACCCATTTCTAAGTCTTTTATTGTCCGATTTTCCTGCCGACTGACAGTTTCCACCTGACTTCCTCCATCTGCACAGAGCCGAGCGCCGGCGGCTTGGTCTCTTTTTGCCGTCGTCCGAAGTTTCAGCTGAAAAGGCTCGATAAGAAACACTTCCAGTGTCCTTTTTGTTTTATTTCCTCCTTTATAGGAAAATCGGGAATCTGGTTAAATCTTTCAAACCGCAGCGTCTCCATTTGGGAAGAATGGTTAGTTTTTCTTTATTCTGGAGGTTTTTCTACTAAGTTTCAAGCTTCAGATAAGCAGCTTTATAATATTAATAATAATAATAATTATTATTGCTGAGCATGAATCATGAACGCGGCGTTTTCCACACACGCGTTAAGAACAGTTAGACCTTCACGTCTGCTGAAAACCTCCACCGTGAGCTCACCTCTGCTCCTTTTTTTGTCTTTTCTACTTGTAGGGATTCTTTGTGTTTCTGAATATTCCGACTCTTCATCCCATTTTCATCCCGTTGTTTCCCGCCGTGAGCAGCTTTTGGCTGCCGTGAAGCATTTCTGGCGCACAAACACCTCTCAGATATAGGAAGTTGAGCTCAGCAGGATGTGGAGACCAGCAGCTGCCAACACTTTCCTTCTGTCGCCTCCAATGTTTCTGGTTTCCTTTGACAGTGAAACCGTTTTCGCCGGAAGTCCAGAACGACCGCACACGCGCGCGCCTCGATAGCGTTCCAACCCCTCTGTAAACACAGAGCCAGTAGAAAACACTTTTCTGTGTTTCAAAAGTCACAGAACCGTTCTGCAAGCGGAGACCCCGAGGTTTAAGGGGGTGGGAGCAGCGTCGGGGCCGATCAGAGGCGCTCGTTAATCTCTGCAGGCTTCAGATGCTGGAGTCTCTTAATTCCTTAAATCAAGAGCTCAGAAGTGCGTCGGACGGAGGGAGGGAGGCGTTTTTAATCACCTAACCCTCTGAGTGCTGGAGAACAAAGCACACTGATTGGATGATTGGAGCCATCAAGAACAATGTGCTGAAGATGCCTTAAACGGGAAGAGCTTTTCTGAGTGGAGCTTCAGGAATTTGTTAAATGATAATTAGGAATACTCAACGCTGACGGCTGAGCGGGCAGAAATGAGCGGCTGGGTTCACGCTAAAGCAGCAGCAGCAGCAGGATGTGTGTTGGTTTCATTCGTGTTCGGGTTTTAGGAGATTAACTATAAGATTAAGTTATTTGTCGTACAGAGTTTTGGTGTCTGTGTTCCAACCCTCAGCCGCTGCCTGGGATGTGGATCATGGTGGAAACCATCCTGCAGGATGTTGTCCACAGGCAGCTGGTACCTTTTGTAACCGAGCGCGAGAACCTTGAGCCTCTTCTGCCCGGGTTTCGGGCAGAGCTCAGCACAGAGGCTGCCTCAGGGGTCGTTGCTAGGGCCCCTGTTGTTTTCAACGCGGGGCATCACCGGTATGACGACTGACTCGTGAATCTGAGAAGGCGCGGTCTCTGAAGGCTTGAGTGGACGGTGGCTGATGACCTCAGTTAGAATGAAAACAACAGATAGATGTAAAGATTACTGAAACTATTTAACTCGCATCTTAATGTTACTTAGTGCATCATAAAGCATTAATAAACAATCCTTCTATTAATGTTGTCGTTAATGATAAGTGCCCTTTAGGTTAGGACAGAGGGTGGGGGTGGCTGCTTAGTAATGCAGTTGTTAGTAGTTTATTAATGCTTAATAATGCACTAAGTAGCATTAATAAAGAGACCCTTCATGTTAAGCGTTACCAGTGTTTTTCAGACGGGTCCCAGCCAGATAAAGAAAAACAAAATAAACGACTAAACCTAAAATGTAAAGATGAACGTTAATAAACCTGATTTCTACAAATTATTTATATGATTAGAATAAACTCACCTGACTAAATAAAGAGAAAAACGCCACTGAAAAACTTTCTTTTGGTGTCGACATCACTGCTTTTTTCTAATGATAGAAGCAACACACACACACGTGCACGCGTGCGCACACACACACACACGCACACACACACACACACACACACACACACACACACACACACACACACACACACACACACACACACACACACACACACACACGCACGTACACACACACACAGTCACACACACACACAGTCACACACACACACACACACACACACACACACACACACAGGCATGCACACACACACACACACACACACACACACACACACACACACACACACACACACGCACACACACACACAGGCATGCACACACACACACACGCTCGCAAACACACACATACACACCCACAGACACACACACACACACACACACACGCACACGCACACACACAGGCATGCACACACACACACACACACATGTGCACGCGTGCGCACACACACACACAGTTACATGCACACACACACTCGCAAACACACACATACACACCCACAGACACACACACGTGCGCACGCACGCACGCACACACGCACACACATACACACACGCGCGCGCACGCACGCACACACATACACACCCACAGACACACACTTGCACGCACACACACACACACACACATGCACACCCTCGCCAGTTAGGAGGGAACATCTCATCAGGGTACCTGCAAACACCTCCAGCTAGAAGCTTTAAGGTCTCCGAGGCTGCAGCTGGAGGTGTTTTTGGATGAAAGTAAAGTCTGAGGAAAATATTTTTGTGTGGAGTCGGTTTGTAATTCCTCAGAATGATTTCACACGTGTTTTTGTGTAGAAGTAGAAAAATTCCCAAGCGATTCCAACCTTTAAACACGTTTAGACCATCGTCTTAACCTTTTATAGATCCAGCGTGGGTTACGGGATTTCACCCAAGCAATCATCAGAGATCACGCTATCACGGATGCGCCATGGCGCCGTCCCACCAGTCAGGGCGGGTTATTGTGACTGGCTGAGTATTGGCGTGTCCAAGAGCCAGAAACGACTCGGTCTCCTCTCGTGTTTACGACCAGATCTCTAGAACCAACGGGCGTGGTTTATGAAACTCACATCACCAGGTTGACTAGTTGTGCTAAATAAGGATAAACGTGTAATAAACTCAATAAGGTTGGTGAATTCAAAGCCGCTATATTTGAACAAATCAAATAAATTATGTTTAATTTTAGATAAAATCAGTTGTTATTTAGACGTAATCTAAATAATGAGGGTAGCAGTAAAAAACTATTATGTTATTGAATATATTTTTATAGTTTTTAACTAAAATTTCTCATTAAATGGAATAATTAGATAATAAATAGTTCTCTTTTTAAAGCTACACATATGTTATTACTGATATTATTTAAAGGATTAAATATCCGACACGATCCAGATTTTCTGCGGTTTCCTTTTGGACGTGCTAAGGCTCTGTTAGCGTTCATTGGCACAACCAGAGGGTTTAGTGATAAACTTCTGGTTGTTAGTTTGAGTTTATTTATATATTTTTAAGATTTAAAAGCTTTATTTTGTTAGGAATTATACTGCTAACTGCTAAATAGTTGTCTCTCAATCACTTCTGATAATATGGATTGAATTTATTGTTTGTTTCTAGATTCTCGACTCCCGGACTACCGAAGACTAACTATATCCACTAGCGAGGAAAAAACATGCAGTTGGTTTAGCTAACTTCCTGATTGACTCTACGGAGCGACGACGCCAGATAGTTAAAACGTTGCGTCTGTAACCGATCTAAAGTCGGCAGCATCGGGTCGGGAGGTTTTCGTAGCGCGTCAGAATGATGAGAGTTTAGTGACACTCACAAAGGAAATGAGTGTAACAACCTACCGATCAGTGGATCCTGGCTTGATTCTGAGCTTTCAAAATAAAACGAGCCGTTCTCCGTAGCAAACCCAAACATATGATGGATTTCCGATCAGATCCTGATGACGTGACCCGAAGTCAGGCGTTTTGCATTTCTGACACGCAGCACAGAAGCAGTCGTTAAGAGGAACATTCTGACATTTGAAAACGTCAGACCTGCTAAAAGCTGTTGTGACCTTTATCTGATGCAGGGAGACGCTAGCGGGGACGTTTAGAGTCGGACCGATCAGAACCAGAACCAGGCTCAGAGCGACAGAAACGAACAAGCCTCTGTTTGTGCGCTTCGCTTCCTCTCTGCCCACCAATAACCTGCAGACTCTTTCAGATTACAGATCAAACCCAGCTGAATTCTGTCTCATTCATCTAATAATCTGCTGTAATCCCTAAAGAATTATACACTACATTCACAATGAAGAGTTTCGGATTAAGATCCAGAAGAAGTCCTCCTCAGATGTAACCCCTTCAACGCGGAGCTTTTGTTTCATCCCGAAACCAGGAAGTTGAGATCTGCTCACCTTTGCTGCAACTTTAAATAATCCTAATTCCATTTGTGTGTTTGATTCCGTTTCAGTTTCGTACGTTTGACCCGTGCAAGCAGCTGTGGTGCAGCCACCCCGACAACCCGTACTTCTGCAAAACCAAAAAGGGACCTCCTCTCGACGGGACCGAGTGCGCTCCTGGAAAAGTAAGTTTGGACCCTCTGAGTCGGGCGCCGACATGGGGGGGGTGGGGGGTGATGAACGTTTCTGTTTTCATGCAGAATCTACGGCAGGATGAGTCTTTCCTCTGCGTAACAGAAGCTGCTCATCCTAATAAACAAATCCAAACCGCTCCTGCATGGATTAAAGGTCCAACTGATGTTTTCCAAACATTAAAGGGACGCCAGGCAGTTTTGGCTTAAATCAGAAGTAAAGCCTATCTCCTCGCTGTGCGTTCGTCTTTTTAATTCCTTAATCTAACAGCTGGAATGTCTCCCCAGCCGTCCTCAGTGTCTGCAGGAGCGGTTCATCACTAAATCAAACAAATTAGCCGCGTTGGTGATCTAAAACATGCAGGAAACGTGCTGGAAGCTGAAACGTCGGCTGCCGCTGCTGGCAACACCCGTGGCCAGTGGCCTCGCCACTGTCAGTGAGCCCCTGGCCAGCTGTGGCTACGATGTAGCTCATCACCGCCAGAGCGTGAATGCATGTAGTGCAAAGCGCTTTGGAGTCGTCCAAAAGGCGCTGCACAAGACCAGGTCATCATGTAGGATGTGCAGAAGTCTCTGAAGACCACTCAGGTGCTCCCTCCCAGCTGAAAACGTTTGTCTTGATGTGGTTTGTTACGGCGAAGCTTCGTCACACAGCAGCTTTTCCTGAACGCTTTTCACTTCCTGTCCTTGTTTGTCTTCTTCTCTCCTGTTTCTCGTGCGTCTAGTGGTGCTACAAAGGCCACTGCATGTGGAAAAGCCCAAACCAGCTGAAGCAGGATGGCGCCTGGGGCTCGTGGAGTAAACACGGATCCTGTTCACGCTCCTGTGGAACCGGAGTACGCTTCCGAACACGACAGTGCAGCAACCCCGCGTACGTACTGACCACCCCCCACCCCCCGTTAAAAAATGAAATAAAGGCGTTAGAGGCTGATCGCACCAACAAAACTCTCAGAGCAAAGATTCATTTTAATATTAATCCTGTTTTTATAGGATGACCAGATCCAAGCCAACCAAATGTTGGACTGAGCGTTTGTGATTTTGTTGTTGTTGTTGTTGTTGTTGTTGTTGTTATGGCCATCACAAGGTTTCCATCCACCACCACAGTAACTCCACGTGGTTGTCAGAACCTGCCGGAGATTAAAATCCATGATAAAAACAATCATCGTCCCGCTTTAGAGGTTTCTTCCAACTACAGGAAACTTTTATTCCGTCTTTTGCCAAAAGATTTGGGAACAAAACTACATTTGTGTCTAAAACTTGTGGAATGTTTAGAAAATCGAGCCTCCCGGTGAAAAATCGCTGGATTAAAAGTTTCCGCACAGACTCGCCGGGACTCCTGTGAAGAGATTAAAACAACTTCAAAGTTTTCGAGCATCAAGCCGTTTCTTCACTCTGAGCAGAAAAGATGGGGAAGCTTCGGAGAGATTCACCTGAGAAATTACTGCTGATCTGTTCATTTGAGGAGGATTAGAGACCTGGTCGCCATGACTGAGAACAAAAATGCGAGACAGGAAATAAGTGGCCAGGTAAACGTAATGGCTCTCAGAGACGACAGATTCATCAGGTTTTCTGCCACACGAGAAGCGAAATGGTCTTAAACTGGGATTAGTTCCTGCTTTCATCACTAATGATGCTAGAGGAGCTTGCTGGTCGAGTGTCTTCTGTCTGTCCTCCAGGGTCCACCGTCTATCTAAAGGTTCTTTATGATTTATGACTCCTGACTGTTTCATCCAGAATAACAAAACCCCGAGGAGAGCCGGTTTTCTCTCTTTTGGCTTCAGACTAAAGCTCCGCGTTGGTCCGACTCCTGTGATGCTCTTCCCACAGACCCTCCAACGGAGGCCAGGACTGCCCCGGGGTGAACTACGAGTACCAGCTGTGCAACAAGAACGACTGCCCCAAGCACTTCGAGGACTTCCGATCCCAGCAGTGCCAGCAGCGAAACTCCCACTTTGAATTCCAAGGTGTCAAACACCACTGGCTGCCTCACGAGCATCCCGACGGTAAGCCGAGGAAAAGGCCAGCAGACGGTTCTGTTTGAGTCCTGCTGAGGAGACGAGCTGATGAGTTTAGGATCTGAATCTAGGAGCAGGATCTACTGTCAGGTTCTGTCGTGTGGCCGCTGGAGCACGGATGATGGATCCGTTTTACTGAATCATGAGTTTTATATCGGGCTTCACCCCGTGGAGCCTTTGGCCTCCTGGTGAAGCTGAATCAGTCGGGCCGAGACGGAAAACGCTGAATCCACTGAGAGGAACAGGAGCGGCCATGTGGAAGATGCTCGTTACAAAGCAGGATTTAAAAACCCATCCCCATTACAACTTTCGGTAACACTTTAGTTTAGGGAACACAAATTAACCATTAATTAGCTGCCAATTAATATGCATAGTAGTGGACTACTAAGTCTGAATTAGTCATTATTAAGCTGTTATTAAGTGTTTATTACCAATGCTGCAATTCTAACATTAACAGGCCATAAATGAAGAGTTTTATCAAAATAAGCCATTCTTGATGGTTTGTTGCTGATTAACACACATACTACTTAGCTCAAATCAATATGTGGCTTTTAAAGAAGTAATTAAGGGGAATAGCATTTGATTTAGCTGACCATTATCCTTTACTGGATACATTGCATGCTACTGGCCTTTCAGAATCATCCTTACTTTGGTTTAACTCTTACCTAGATCATCGTCGCCAGTGTGTGTAGCGCAGGGGCTGCCAGTCAAATTTTACTGAAATATCTAAAGGCATCCCTCAAGATTCTTCCTTGGGACCTTTATTGTTTTCTGTTTATGTTAATGATATGCCCCCGTGCTGCACAGACTGTAATATTCATCTTTATGCTGATGACACAGTTATTTATTGTAGCAAGCCAACTCTCACTGAGATACATTTTTCGCTACAAAAAGACTTTAATTCTATTCAGCAGTAGCTGTTGGCCGATAAACTTCTTCTTAACCCTTTGATGCATAATGGTCACTACAGTGGACAGGTACTCAAAATTGTTATTTATTTATTTTTGCTATTAAGCACAGCTGTTGAAGACTTTATTGCATTTGAGCCCCTCCATTTGGACTTCAGCAAGTCAAGCCAACATATTTCATGTTCAGAATGCATGCTGTCCACTGAGGTGGACATGTAATAAATTATTTGTAAATTAACAAAATGTTACAAAAGATATTTGTTGAAATTTGTTTCATTCACACCTAAAGATGAATGACAAAAATTGTTTAAAAAATCATGGTTGAAGATTTCATAATTCATGCATCAAAGGGTTAATAAGTCCAAATCACATTCCTTACTGTTTCATAAGAAAGCCCTAGATGTTGGCGAAAAAAACCTGAAGCTTTGTTTTCTCGACTCCTCTCCTCTGGAGACCACGGAGACCATTAAATATCTTGGTGTTTGGCTGGAACCTGATTTATCCTTTAAAACACAAATACAGTCAACTACAAAAAGATTCAATTCTCGTTTTAAAATCCTCGATCAATCTGTTAATTGTTTTAACTTTCTGGTTAGGAAAAGAATGGCCACACAGCTGCTTCTGCCTATTCTGGACTATGCTGACATTATTCATCCTCCTGCTTGCGCTCTATTGATGTTGCTTATAGTAGCCTCTGTCGTTTTGTTCTTCGTTGTCCGTTTAGGACACATAGAAGTGTGATGTATCGACAGTTGTCCTGGTTCACACCTGCTGTCAGGAGACAGTTTCACTGGTTTCAGTTCAATTTTAAAACTTTTTACTTTAATTATCCGGATTATCTTAAAATACATTTAATTCCCTATAATTCACTTTACAGCCTGCGGCATAATGACTAGCTCTGTTTTGTTGTTCCTAGAGTGAAAAGAGACGTAGGGAAACATGCTTTTGGTTTTAAGGCTCCATGTGATTGGAATAATCTTCCTTTTTTTATTTTTTAGATTACAATTCTCATTTTAGCTCTTTGGATTTTATATTTTAACCTTAATTTAACCTTTTTCCAGTGCTTCCTCTGTGGGAGCCCTCTGCTCCAGCGGCGGTGGTCGGCTGTGGCGGCCTGGGTGCTTTCCATGTGTGCCTGGGTGGTGGTGGGGGGTCTCTGCCCTCCCTGCCCTGGGCGCCCGGTGTCAGTGCCTCGGCTGCTGCTGTGGATCTGCTGCTGTCGGGGCGGATGGCTCCCCTGATGGCGTTTCCTTATCCTTATCTTAGCCGGTCTGGCTCATCCGATCTCAGCCAATCATGTTTTTTTTTTTTTACCATGGGGAAGGGGGCATGTGTGTGTGTGTGTGTGTGTGTGTGTGTGTGTGTGTGTGTGTGTGTGTGTGTGTGTGTGTGTGTGTGTGTGTGTGTGTGTGTCGGAGGAAGAGTGTTGTGAAGGGGTTTTTATTGTCAGACTGTTTTTAAAATTCTGGGGATGGGAGGGAATGTGGGGCATTTTTAATTTGTTAAGCACTTTGAGTTGCATGTATTGTAGGATTAAGTGCTGTATAAATAAAGTTAATTAATTAATTGATTGATTGATTGATTTATCTATTCGTTGTTTATCATCATTCAGAACTTTTCGAAGGACTCTGGTCGATCATCTTCAGGAATAATTGTCTGTTACTAATTGTGTTCAACTGGCTGTTGCTTTTGTTTTGTCCTTGTTAGTTGGGGTCGTGTCGTGTCGTGTGGGGTGAAGTATTGTGAGCCTTTGAGGGTGTGTGTGTGTGTGTGTGCGTGTGTGTGCGTGTGTGTGTGTAAATGATTGTTGTAATGTTTTGATTTAGATTTTTCTCTGCTGTCTTGCCCTTAATTTTTGTTCTTCTGTTTGTTGTAAAGAAGGACCCACTCGAAAGCGAGATGTTTCATCTCAAGTGGTTATTCCGCCGTATAAAATTATGTTAAAATAAAATAAATAAAAATAAATAGTTAACAACCAAACATATTTTGTTCTGGTATTATGTAAATTAACACCAAACTCCACATGTTAATAGAGCCTAAACAACAATCAGTTAACCACTTGTAAGCTAGAACATGTTCCCCATTCTAAATTCAGATTTTGTTCATACCTATTTACTAGTTTAGTATTAATTAACCACTTAAAGGCAAGAATATGTTCCTCTTGAATTTCTTCTTTAAAAGCCACATATTGATTTGAGATAATTAGTACGTGTGTTAATCAGCAACAAACTTCAGTTAACGAACCATTATGGGTGGCTTATTATGATAAAACTCTTAATTTATGGCCTGTTGCTGTTAGAATTATGGCATTAGTAATAAGCTGTCAATAAGTGCTTAATAATGACTAGTTCAGACTTAGTAGTCCACTAATATGCATATTAAGTGGCAGCTAATTAATGATTAATTTGTGTTCCCTAAACTAAAGTGTTACCCAACTTCCCAGTCTTAATTTAATCTTTAAAAGAAACTGTTGAGGGACATACGAGCAGATCCCAGGTCTGCTGGGGCTGTTTGGGATCATATTTATGGGCCATTCCCATCTCTACCGGGTCAGCCCGGGCTGGGTAGCTCCAGTCGGCCCCAGCCTGGCCCGGTTGATTCCACACATCCGTGTCTTAAGCCCATGTGGGCTGATTCTACCCACCAATCAGAGGCTTGCTCTAATGGAAGGTGTGGATTTGCTGTCAGCAGTGGGTGTGTTGGCCCTGGTCGGCCTGAAGCAGACCCCCTCGAGAAGAGGGCTGAGAATGAGCCTTGGTTGGCCCGGAAAAATACCAGGCCACCCAGATTTGTAAACAATCTACGCTACCCGGCCCGGGCCGACCCGGTACAGATGGGAATGGCCTATTAGACTTTTTAATCTAGCTGTGTTTACTAATAAAGGGATTTTCCACTCCTATGAGCTCCATTAGTTAGAGAAAAGTCCCTGTCATTCTCCTAATGCATTCTGTTAGCTTTAGCTTAGCATAATCAATGCCGGTGAATGGTAACGGCTAGCATTTAGTGTGAAAACGTCATGAAAAATTCTCAATGATCCTAATTTTACTTCATTACTTCAAAATTCATATAAGCTAGCAGAATCTGTGTTGGTAGCCAACAGGAGATGCCACCTGTACTGCCAGTCGAAGGAAAGCGGCGACGTGGCCTACATGAAGCAGCTGGTGCATGATGGGACGCGATGCTCCTACAAGGATGCCTACAGCATCTGCGTGCGTGGCGAATGTGTGGTAAGGAGCTTTTTAAACTTCAGGTTCACGTCCGTGTCTGTCGGATGTTTAAACAAATCCTTACATCGCCCGGGGTCCGGGTCCTCTTCCGGACCCCGGGCGACCCAGTGGGACCGTTCAGCACCAGCCTCGCCACCGTTTCATCCAGAACACTCCCGGTTTCAGATTAACGATTCATGATAATTCCTGGATTCATCGGTGACAATTTATTCTGAGATTTCTCAGCAAATATGAAATTTACAAGTCCAATCAGCATCAGGATGGGATTCATGTGGTTTGGTTCAACAAGCTAAACGTCCGTCAGAGATCATCTGTCCTTTTTACGAGTCTGCAGAACAATCATCCCAGCAGGTCACAGGAATCAAGTCATCAAGTCCCAGCGTGTCACCCTCGCCCTGTTGGGTCAGAGATTTAAACTCCCATGTGGAGAAATGGGTTAGGACTAAGAGTTTTCAGTGTGTGTGTGTGTGTGTGTGTGTGTGTGTGTGTGTGTGTGTGTGTGTGTGTGTGCGTGTGTGTGTGTGTGTGTGTGTTAAATGAATTACTCTAGCTGTTTTTACTCAAAAACAAAACCTCGCAGCTGCAGGAAACAGAAATGAAACCATGATAAATGAATAAATTTAGCCTTTTATGCAGCAAGTCAAACACTTAAATAAAAGTGTGAATTTAAATGGTGGAAAAAAGTTTAAATAATTATAAAAAGTTATGGGATGTTTAAAGCTAATTTGTTGAATCTGCACAACAAGCTAGGTTTGGAACGCAAACGGAACACGTTTAGGGAATACTCGCCCCTCCCCTCAGGTATCTTCCCTGAGACGCTCCGGACCAGGAAACTCGCGATGCTGGGCGAAACGAGATGGCGTTAAACACCAGTCGCCGTTTTCTAGGTCCAAACGTCTTTTGCTGTCCGTTTGGGTCTCTGGTAGTTTGTCCTAAAGCTGAAGCGGTAGCAGCCGGCTGTTTCTCCTCCTCTGATGTTGTTGAGCGGAGAAGCTCTCACACCGGTGGTGGTCTGGTGCTGAATACGTGAGTGTGTGACGAGTGGAGGACCCAGGGAGGTGCAGCGGTTCGGTGAGACCGACAACCGGATGGTTTTGGTCCGAGATATATCCGTAGCTGTAGCATGTCAGCACGTTGTTAGGAGGCATAAAAATGTTTGAGCTACTGAGCGTAGCTGTAGTTTTCCAGATCCGCCGTTGCAGCTTTAAACGTTGTTCCTTTGCTGATGATGTTATTATTTAGCGTTAGCATTTTGTGGATGTGGTCACTTTAAGTCTTGATTTTCCATCTAAACCAGAAACGTTTTAAAAAGCAAACATTCTCTTTTGGGCTTTTCCCTCCAGGGTTCGCCACAGTGACTCCCATTTAGTCCGTTCAACGTAAACCAGAAATGTTGAAATCTGTAAAAACATTTTCAGACCGTTCAGTGAGTCCCCTTTAAGGAAACTCCCGTAAAAGATGCAAAGCAGAAAGCCCTCGATGTGGAGGATGAGGGGTTAAACGGCATCCAGCAACGCCGTCCAGCAGAACGAATCCTGCCGTTAAAGCCGTGCTTCCGTTGTGACGCACGGCCCAACATTTCTTTCTTCTGCAGGTTGATCTAACACATTCCTTCTGCTGGGAATCGTGGCTAATTAATGAGCCCAGCTCGTTACCATGGCGATGCAGTTTGACTCTTGAAGAGCTTCCTGCGTGAGACCGAAGGTCGCTCCGCGGTACGCCTCTCAGATGTGATCAGCTCAGGTGTTGCAGCTTCTACACTAAACTGTCTGTAAGACATCTGGAGAGGTCCCAAGGTGCTGGGCGATGGAGAAGACATGAAGGTTTCTGCAGCTGGCGGCTCTTTTTCAGACGTAATGCTAACATCCCATCCTGAGCAGATGGGAGCTTTGTCCAAAGGAAATCTTCTCCTTCATCTGCAGAACCCTGACTTAATAAACTCTTACAGAAAACAGCAGAAAGTCCCTCACACGTTTTGTTTTCCTTCTTCCCAGAAAGTCGGCTGTGACAAAGAAATCGGCTCGATCAAAGTGGAGGACAAATGTGGAGTTTGTGGCGGGGACAACTCCCACTGTCGCACCGTGAAAGGAACCTTCACCCGGACGCCGAAGAAACCCGGTAAGAACACGCGGCGTTAATCCCACCGCACGGCTGTCTGGATCATAACCGACAGATTAAACCAAAGAAATGCCTTTATAGGGTTTAATGTGAGCACTTGACCCCCAGAGGTCGGCCCACATCTTCATCTGAAGGCTTCTTGATTACCAACGTTCTGATGCAAAGGAAGGAAGGTTTCCACCCTCATCATTACCTCCTTCTTTAAGTGGCTTGCTAATCTGCACAAGTGCTGCTGACAATGGAATCCCAACAATAGATTCCTGAAGTGTTTTCAGGCCGAGTTTCTTCCATAAATTACAGGCTTGTGAGCGGAAAGATCCGGTTCCAGGAAATTACCCGAGTGCCGTTTATCTGTGCGTCAGTCGCTCTGATGAGAGTTTGTAATCCTGTTATTAGGAGTTGTGGGTCCTGATTAGCAGCACGGATAGAACCCACTATCACCGCCTTCATGTTGTAGCATCAGCAGCTGCTTTTAAAGGCTGGTTGCAAAAACACCCACTCTGACGCTTGTTGTAGCGTCCAAGATGTTCCCGATAGACGTCTCTCGTTGTTTAGATCACGACGTAAAATACCAGACGTGGTGTTTGGTGAGGTTTGCACACGCGCGTTAGGAATCTAACAGGCTCCCCGGTCTTAAGCCCTTTTCAGATAGACATTCTGGAACATTTGTGGACAATTCAATCCGGTTTTTAACCGGAACTGTGTTTTCAGTGTTATCGGACTCATGTTAAGAAGAAGAAGAAGAGAATATCATTTCTATAGCGCCTCTCAAGATAAAAATCACGAGGCGCTTAAGCATAATTCTTCGCACACGAAGACGCATAAGAGACCTGGATGATGAAGCTCAAAGGTTAAAGGAATCACTGAAGCGGTGTGAAGCGCTCCGTCGCGCGTCTAGGCGGTACCGTAGGAGGCGAGCTGCCGTGGTTCGCCACATGCTACAGGAGCGGGCTATCTAGGTGCGCACAGCGTCCCCCGGTCCGCTCCTCCTCCCCCTCCCCCTTGTCCGGAACTCTACCTCACCAGTCTGAAGCAGCCACCCTGTCCGTAACAAGTCTGGACCTGTTACTAGGGGCGTCGTCCGGTTAAATTCCGGAACACGTTATCCGGATGTTTGTATTCAGACACAAAGGTCTTACGGACAGTCCGGAACATTTCCGTTTTTAATGGCCTGTCTGAAGGGGGCTTTAGTGACTTCATGATAAGACACCATCTTTGTGGTTGCATTGATCAGGATCGTCCACGCGGACCTCATATTTAGGCCACGACTCCGTCATGCTGGGGCAGGATGATCAGCTGCATCCTGATGCCGTCTGAGAGCCTCACGCCGCTGCAGCTGTTGGTGACTGGAGACTCGGATCAGGAGAAAGTTAGCTACGTTTGATCCTGCACCACAGAAGAACAGGAGAGACGGCAAAGAAGGCTGCAAGCACAGCTTCCACCTAACCACGACCAGTCCCGGAGACCAAAACGTTACGACTCCCAAGTTTTCCTTTTCAGACGTGGAACATTATTTCACATTTTAGTGTTTTGAGCGTCAGCTGCAGGAGGGATGCAGCAGCGCGGATGAACCAAACAGTCTCGTGCTCAACTGTAGAAGTTTAAGAGGACCCACATGGGTCTGCCTTGGTGGACGTCAGCAGTGCGTTTGGGGAGCACTGAATGGAGAGCAGGTTGGGTTTACACCCTTGTCTGGTGCAGCTGGACGTTATTGATTTACATACACTCAACAAAAATATAAACGCAACACCTTTGTTTCTACTCCGATTTTTCATGAGATGGACTTAAAGAGCTAAAATTCATTCCAGATACACAATATTACCATTTCTCTCAAACATTGTTCACAAATCAGTCTAAATGTGTGATAGTGAGCACTTCTGCTTTGCTGAGATAATCCATCCCACCTCACAGGTGTGCCACATCAAGATGCTGATCCAACATCATGAGTAGTGCACAGGTGTACCTACTACTGCCCACAATAAAAGGCCTCCCTGGAATGTGCAGTTTTGTCTCACAGCAAAATGCCGCAGATGCCACAAGCATTGAGGGAGCGTGCAATTTGCATGCTGACAGCAGGAATGTCAACCAGATCTGTTGCTCGTGCATTGAATGTTCATTTCTCCACCATAAGCCATCTCCAAAGGCGTTTCAGAGAATATGGCAGTACATCCAACCGGCTTCACAACCGCAGACTACGTGTAACCACACCAGCCCGGGACCTCCACATCCAGCAGGTTCACCTCCAAGATCGTCTGAGACCAGCCACTCAGACAGCTGCTGAAACAATTGGTTTGCATAACCAAACAATATCTGCACAAACTGTCAGAAACCGTCTCAGGGAGGCTCAACTGCATGCTCGTCGTCCTCATCGGGGTCTTGACCTGACTCCAGCTCGTCGCCGTAACAGACTTGAGTGAGCAAATGCTCACATTTGATGGCGTCTGGCACATTGGAGAGGTGTTCTCTTCACGGATTAATCTCGGTTTACATTGTAGAGGGCAGATGGCAGACAGAGTGTGTGGCGTCGTGTGGGTGAGCGCTTTGCTGATGTCAATGTTGTGGATCGAGTGGCCCATGGTGGTGGTGGGGTTATGGTATGGGCAGGCATCTGTTATGGACGAAGACTACAGGTGCATTTTATTGATGGCATTTTGAATGCACAGAGATACCGTGATGAGATCCTGAGGCCCATTGTTGTGCCGTACATCCATGAACATCACCTCATGTTTCAGCAAGATAATGCACGGCCCCATGCTGCAAGGATCTGTACACAATTCTTGGAAGCTGAAAATGTCCCAGTCCTTGCATGGCTAGCATACTCACCGGACATGTCACCCGTTGAGCATGTTTGGGATGTGCTTGACCGGCGTATATGACAGCATGTACCAGTTCCCACTAATATCCAACTACTTCGCACAGCCATTGAAGAGGAGTGGACCAACGTTCCACAGGCCACAATTGACAATCTGATAAACTCTATGTGAAGAAGATGTGTTGCACTGCATGAGGCAAATGGTGGTCACACCAGATACTGACCCGTTCTGAGTCCCCAGACCCCCAATAAAGCAAAAAACTGCACATTCCAGGGTGGCCTTTTATTGTGGGCAGTATAAGGTACACCTGTGTACTACTCATGATGTCAGATCAGCATCTTGATGTGGCATACTTGTGAGGTGGGATGGATTATCTCAGCAAAGCAGAAGTGCTCACTATCACACATTTAGACTGATTTGTGAACAATGTTTGAGAGAAATGGTAATATTGTGTATCTGGAATGAATTTTAGATCTTCAAACCCATCTCATGAAAAATCGGAGCAGAAACAAAGGTGTTCCGTTTATATTTTTGTTGAGTGTAAAAGCTGGTTTAGGGTGTAAATAGTTCCTCTCACGTCTGTCATGGCGACAGAGTCCTTCCCGTGAGCAGCGTGCCGCCCCGCGAAAAGTTACAAACAATGTTTCTGACTTTTCAAAAATGTCAGAAATGAACCTTTCTTTGTGAGCAAGTTGGCTTTCCATAATTGGTCTTTGGTCAGAGAACTACTTCCTCTTTCTGGAGACTCCACCGACTTGAGTGGCTAGGGCCCTTACCACAGATCAAGGTTGTTTAATTCTGGGCCCGGAGAGCCGGTGTCCACCATGTTTTAGTTTTAACCCTGCTTCAACACACCTGATTTCAGTCAGCAGAGCCGGGTGAGCCACTGCACAGGTGACTCACCCACCGAATCAGGTGTGTTGGAGCAGAGAAACCACTAAAACATGCTGGAGACCGGCCCTCAAGGCCCGGATTTGAATAGAAATCAAACCAACAGAACAGCACTTCTGATTACGTAAGATATTGCTTTAAGACACGCCAGACACACCTGGAGACCTCTAAGATACCTGCAGCTGATCAGAATGAGGTCACGCTGAGGTTAAAAATGATCCTTTATTGTAGTCGTGTTTGGAAAACATGATGGACAGGAACGAAGACCTGATGGATTTCATCAAACGCTGATGCAACATCTCATGTCACGACTGCTAAAACAGCACTAAATGTTCCACGTGTTTCAGTTTGGTTGGAATTTCTCTTTATTTATTTCCACGTTTCTCCCGTCTAATCTGAGTTTATTTAATCTGGACTTGGTCTCATCTCATCCCAAAGGTGCCTCACTTCTCTCTGATTAAAAACAACTAAATTAAGGGTTTTAACTCACGTAAGTTTTCATAAACTTCACAGATTCCTTTACAGATTCGATCTTATTGATGCCACAGTGGGTGACGTCGCTCGTTAAGGCTGCAAACGCGTAGAGATTAAAAATAATCCCCTGTTCTGAGAGCAGCGGCTGGGTGAGAAACCGGCCTGAAACTACAAGTCTGGCTGCGTTGCAGTTCAGGAACACCTCAAGGTGAAAAGCGTCCAAAACTTCAGATGTTAGAGAACGACGGCGTTGGCGCTGATTCTGAGCTGTTCTCCGTTAAAAGCCACAACCATCCTACTAATCAGCGACCCGCAGCCAAGGAGCAGAAACATTTAGGATTTCTTACCACGCCGTTCGCTCTCTGGTGCGCCCGTCGCTGTCCTGCAAACCAACACAGCGCTGCAGTGGGTCAGAGTTCAGCCTGTAGCCTCGTGCCTCTCGCCTCCGCTGAACAACCCTCAGCGCAGAAGGGTTTTGGCCTCCGTGGGTTAATGGGACCTTTAATCACGCGGGAACACAAAGGCCGTGGGCACGCTTTCAAAGTGTTGTGAGATAAAGATGGAAAACGAGTAACAGCCTGGTGGTTGGTTTTCATCCATCTGCTGCTGGACAGCAGGGAGTCTGCAGGAGCGGCTCCTTCACGCAGCTTTAAACTCTGAGTGTGTGCATTTTCAGATGATCTGTAGGAGCTTTTGTTATTTCTATAGAGCGTCACTCATTAAATTAGACGCCAGTAAATAATACACAGTGAAAACCTAGAATCGACGCCTCCCACAGATCTGTGTTTGTGCTCATTAATCCGCTGAATTCACAGCAGAGGAATGAATACGGTGATGACACGCCGCCTCCTTGGAGTTTAAACTTTCACCAATTAAAGAGGAAAATTGAGTCTTTCTTCTTATAAATATCTGTTGAAAACATTGTTTTAATTCATAATGGCATTAGCAGTTTAATTAGCAGTTTAATTAGCAGTTTAATTAGCAGCTTAATTAGCAGTTTAATTAGCCATTTCTGCTAAAGTCTTTCAAGTTTCTTCTCTCTCTCTCTTTCACACACACACACACACACACACACACACACACACACACACACACACACACACACACACACACACACACACACACACACGCAGCTTTGCTAACAAGAGAGGAAATGAAACGTCTCCCGTTTGTTGATAAATTTGTGCTTTTCAAGTTTTCTGCAAACATCAAACGAATAGCTTGAGGTGAATTCACTC